GCAGAGCAGGGCCGGGCCTGTGGAGCGGCTCACAGGCAGCGGGGGTCTCCCGGGTCCTGGTGCCGTCCCGGGTGCACCCACCTTCCCACCCCTGCTCTGTCCCTCTGTCCCTCTCCCCCGCTGTCAGCCGCGGAGCGCCCGCCATGCCCCCTCCTCGCGCGGGCTTGTTTGTTGCCCCAGTCCCGTTCCTCGTAGTTGTAGTGGACGTTTTTTTTTGGTGCCACAGTGTTGAGTTGTGAAATTTGCGGGAAGCGTTTGCTTTAAGTGCTTTGTTGTCCGGATGGAAATCGTGGACATGTGTAAAACTATGGGCACACGTTTGTTGTTTTCTGAGTGAGAGTGGCTAAAGATGTGAAGGGTGAAGGTTGCCTTGCAGTAGCAGCTTTTGTATTGGTTCTGGGCAAGCTCTATCTAATTTTGATGAGATCGCTTGGTGTTTTCTTGCAGTCTTTCTTTAAAAAAAACGAAGTTGTGCATGCACAACTATGGAAACATAGCAGCTGTCATTCTCGTGTAGGTTGTTTACTATTTACAGGTGAGGAGATAAGTAACGCCCTTTGTCTTCCTTTTGTAGTGGGGGTTTTTTTGGTATAGAAGAGATGGGGTAATATTAGCTTTTTGATGGCTGAAGGTTATCTGTGATCCTCTGAGAAAAGAGGTGAGTGCTGTGTCTGTTTCTGGATTCAGAGATATCTTGCTGCTAGCATTTACCCCTTCATAGATGAGGCTGGAAGTGACCAGACAGAATCTACTGTGTCTCCTTGCTATGTGGCAGGACCAAATAGGCCTAAAACTGCTCCCAGCTACTGTTTGTCTAACCTCATATGTTAGAGATTAGCTAAGTAGATAGTGGAATCTGTTCTATTACTACCAGGAGCTTGCTGTAAGAGCAGGCTAACGCTTTTTTAAAACTTCCTGTCATGTTTTGCTTGTTTTTCCCCCAGACCAAGGTGTCTGATTACTCTAAATGTCTTTTCCGATTCCCTATTTTCAAAGAGAGTTTGTGTGGTTGCAGTAATGAATGCGATCATTTTCAAGTTCAAGAGGTCCTTGAATCAATAAACTTCCTGTTTCTCTCCAGGAGCCGGTGGTGCTGACAGATACGAATCTGGTTTATCCTGCTCTGAAATGGGACCTGGATTACCTCCAGGAAAATATTGGCAATGGGGACTTCTCAGTGTATAGTGCCAGCACACACAAGTTTTTATACTACGATGAGAAGAAGATGGCCAATTTTAAGAACTTCAAACCCAAGTCAAGCAGGGAAGAGATGAAGTTTGCTGAGTTTGTGGACAGACTCAAAGAAATACAACAAAAAGGGAGTGCTGAGAGGTAAGTGATATGTGGAGGTTTCTCCATTTCTGCAGGTCTAAGTAGGGGGTAGGTCTCTCTTCAGTGAGTGTGGGTGATTAAAACTTCTCTAACTTTCCATTTTTTTTATAGACTGCTTTTTCCTGCAGGGTTGCTACTTGACAGCAGCCTTGTTACCTGATAAAAAAGTCACACTGTTAATCACACAATTAATCAAACTGTTCACGTTGCACAGACTTTTTCTTCTCTGTCTGAGGTAGGGTTTGGATAGACAAAGCCTTAAGCTTCACTTTCTTTTGGCAGACTATGGTATTGGCAGAGGAGCTTAGTTATCTGATTAAAAGGTACAAGCTATAGCACCCAGCCTTTTTTTACAGAATACCAAGGTAGCTGGTGATAACCCTCTTTCAGAAAGGTGAGAAAAGGTTGCATATGTGCAGTGTATTTGTGGTGGTGATGGCCTGTACCACTAACAGAGCTGTAAGTTATTGAGAGGAGCTTCATGTTTATACAAAACATAACTATTAGCAACTGTACTTAAACCATCAGTAAATTTTATCAGGCACTGGTCTTCTAAAAGAGCTTACGGATGCTTAATTGTGTCTTAATTGGAAGCAACTCTTGTGTGTGTATCCACTTGTCATCTCCAACTTTCCCTTCTTTCTCAGCTTTGTATGTGTTTTTCCTGAGAGAGAAGGCAGTCCTTGAGCTTAAAAATGCATTTTTCTTCCAGCATTGCAGACAGTAGTCTGTAATACTGCGATTATTAATACAGATATTTGATTCCTCTAATCCTCTATGTCTAAATGTTAGTGTGGCTTTCAAGTAATTTGATACTGAAACATGCTAGGTTTCCCGAGACCTTTTTTGCAGTCATGCACTTCCAGTAGAAGAGGTAACTCTTATTGCAGATGAGTTAGAGTGGTGGCATTTATCTCGGGATTATTCATGAGTGTGTTTTATATTTGATGGTGGACAGTCTGTTTACAGTTTCCTCCTCCTGCACTGTGAGGGTGTTGCTCTTGCTCTGAATTCTTTTTCCCTTGTGATTGTTCAAGCCAAACCGAGTTCTGTTCCCTTCTGTACCAAGAAATCTTTCAGCAAAGTTTGTGGACTTTTTGAAACTGTTTCCTTCCACAGATGTTTAGGGCATATGATGGTAGAACAGAATTTCTAGGAGTTATGTCTCTGTTTTGAAATCTTTCTGAAGCGACACAGAGATGCGTCTCTATGTTCATGACAAAGCTTAATACTTGATTTCTGCTTGTCTCTGGGAAAATACAGGCTATATCTGCAGCAAACCCTGAATGACACAGTTGGAAGGAAGATTGTGGTGGATTTCCTTGGCTTCAACTGGAACTGGATTAACAAACAGCAAGGGAAACGTGGCTGGGGTCAACTGACTTCTAACTTGCTTCTTATTGGCATGGAAGGTAAGCGGTTTCCTCTGACTGGAGAAGGGGAGATGATTTGGTGAGCAGTTCTGCATTTCAGTTCCATAAGGTCTTTCAAATAAATTTTCCACTAGTTTCAAAGTGTTCCTTCAGAGCAGGCAGTTTAAAATGTTGTGTTGGGAGGAGACTGTCACAACTTAACTTGGGTTATAGAGAGGAAACAACCAGAGGAATAGCCTGTGATTCCCTAAGGATGTACTGTGAATGCCTGGATGTAATCTGCTCATGGAGAGGCTCTGTGTGATGCTGGTAGGACTATGTTTTCAGTAATTGCTAATCATATTCTGAGTTCTGTTTATTGTTTGAACTCTTCAGATGTTGTAGATTTAAAATGCTCAGAGTCTGCAGATTTAAAATGCAAAAGGGTTTGCAAGTTGAGCAAAGTTAGTCTCCTGGGTTTTTCTTAGTGTATCCAGTGTCTACCCAGGAGGAAGATTATTCTGTGAAGCATTTGTTTTGGTTGAGCTGGTACAGTGTGGGGAGGAATTCTCTTTCAATTAAGAGCTGAATTTCTTCTTGGAAGGTTAGAGGGCACTGGAGAACTTGAAAATGGATAAATCCTAAAAATATCTGGATAGAGTGAAATTCCAAATCCATGTGGAGACTGACTCATAGGCAGGTGCCTTAAAAGACAGAGGTACTACTGCGCTGTGAACAGGAGAGCATTCTAGTAGAAAGTAATCTCAGTAACTGGGCAAGGAAAACACATAGTTCTGTGAAGTGGGATGGCCTGTAATCAATGTGCCTGTCACATCAATTATAATTGTCCAATTATAATTACTTGGCAATTCATGGCCGTTAGTTCTGACAGCAGATGTTTTTTCCCCTTTGCAACAAGTCATACTCAACTTACAGTAGTTTGTCACTTGTTTCACTAGCTGAGATAAGAGAATTTCATATAAAGCACTGTACCAACACTTCCTTACAGGTCATACATAATATGATCACTAAAATCCTGTTATCAACAGGTTATGCGTAAAGACGAAGGAATTGTCTTCAGCCAGTGTGTGCTAGAGAAAAGAATGTCTTTACAGGAGCTTGTGATTATGGAGTTATCTTAATTCTCTTTAATGAAAACACATATAATAAGCAAGCTAAAAGAGTAATATCTGAATTGGCGAACAGCCTGAAAAACTTGGGTTTGTGGGGTACAAAATAACCCACTGTATTTAAATATTTGGTTAAATTTTAAGATCTAGTAGCAGCAGACAAGCTTCATAACTGTTAAACACACTGAGGAGGTGCTGTTGGGAGCCCCAGTGACAAAGATCTGCTTACTTGTTTTCTTGCAAAACTACTGGGACTTTTTTCAAAATCAGACTGTTAGACTCCTTTTCTCTAGACTAATTAATTTTTGAAGTCCATTCCACAACTTGTCATCTAAACAGTGTTTTAGGAAAAAAATGTCCCGTCAACATTTACCATCTGCTGTTCGTGGAAGCAAGCTGGAAATCCTAATTCTGTAGAGCATAAGTTGCTGAATATGGACTTAGGATGGAAATTAAGTGAGATAGCAACTGCTTAATAAAGGCTGACTGATACAGTGATCAGTTTGTAACATTTCTGCGTTCATTTTCCTTGTTTAGTTTTCTGAATGTGTGGGAGTGTATTTACTGTCTTTAGCAAGGAATATAACTTGCTTCAGTCTTTCATACCTGTATGGAGAGTGTCTTGATTATCGTCTTTTCTCTGTGTGTA